TATATACTGTATATTAGGGATGCACGATATTGGATTTTTGCCGATATCCGATATGCCGATAATTTTCAACTCATTTTGGCCGATAACTGGTACGATATATAATTATTTTTCATTTTGGATAGTTTTTAATGAACTTATTTGTTAGAATTAAATAAACAATAATAAAGTTATTTTATAATGACAGTACATTGAAGATTTGAAAATAACAATAAATAAACTATATATTAATCACTGCATTTTTTTTTAGAAAGATGCAGTTGAAAACATTTTATTTTAAGATTTAAAATTTGTAGATGGTTTAAAGCAAAAGAGTTGTAAAAATTCTGAAAATAATTTAGAGCTCATAATTTGTTTAAAAAATCGAACCTGTTACACAATTAATAAATTTTATATATACTGATTTAAGTGTTTGAAATTTTTATTGTTGTGAATGTAAGCTATAGCTTCTGACCTTTAAATCAAAACATACTCATGATTTTATGGCATCAATTACTGCTTTATTTAATCAGAAACAGTCTAAATATTATTTGAGTATTTTGCTTTCATTTTATTAGAAGTAGACCAACAGCGCCCCCTACGGAATTAAAACTCCTTACCGAGCGGGCATTAGGACCCGGGGGAGGCTGTCGCTGCTGCCGCTGCATGCGCTATTACGGTTTACTCTATGCGTGATTTTTTTCCCCAAACCAGTTGGGCGCAAACCACGCCCCCTACGCGAATTCATTGGTCAACCCTGTTACGTCACCTGAGAAGATGTTTGGACAAGGTCGTTGATGGATCCGTCGCTGACAAACGGTAAACAGTTCTTTTCAATAACATTTTATTATTAGAAGTATTTGTAGGTCTCAATGTGAGTTTTTAAAATTATCATTATAGTTTTCATTTTAACTTTGATCTTTATCTTATTAATTTCGTTCGCTCTCAGGAGAGTACGCATGTTTAGGCTGTGGAGAAGACCAAGCCGTAACGTTACATCTGAAGGTAAAAATTTGAATTAAGTTAGAATTTTTATATATGTATATATATATATACAAGGTTTAAATTGGGCTCGAGCCGTCCGGCACATATAAACTCCAGGGCTCGACATTAAGGCTTCATTAACGCCAAACAAGTGACATGATTAAAACATCAGTAACCAAAAATAACTATGTAAACACCAAAACGCAAGTATTTTTCTGATTTTATTACATTTAGAGTAAGTGGCGAATAGTGGATATAGCTACTGTATATAATGTATCTATTGACAGTATAAGGTTGCGCTGCCTCTCCAGGAGAAATCAAAACGCGCAACACTAAGAAACTCAGCGTCCTGAGGTAAAAATTCAAAATGAAAAGTTTTTATGTTTAAAATACAGTTAGCTAGGCAACATCACACAACATTTTCACCATTACGACTGTTTAATAGTTCTATAAACAGTTCAATAAGCAAATACAATAATATTAGGTCACTTAGGCTACATTTTAGGCAGAAACAGCGCACCTCACAACAACCAGACGATTCA